AGAGAACAGAAGAGAACAGAAGAAAAGAGAACAGAAGAGAACAGAACAGAAGAGAACAGAAGAGGAGAGGAAAAAGAAGGATAAGAAAGGGACAGGAAAAGAAGGCAAGGAAGGCAAGGAAATGAAAAGAAAAAAGTCTATGAAAGGGAAAAAAGACAAAGAGTCTAACCTCTTTCATCATCTTGTCAAGAGGATCCTTGGTCTCTACAATCGTTGGTTCAATGTAGTATCCAACACTGTAAGAAAGCATGATGATCAGGAGAGTTCAAATACAAAATCAGCCAAAAATGCTGAATTTATATTCATAATTAATTGCATTTCTCGAAGTTCTTTTATGAGAATATAATAATAATAATAATAACAAAAACAGCAATAACAATAATGATGATAATGATGATGGTGTTGGTGATGATGGTGATAGTAAAGATGATGATAGTGATCAAGATAGTGAAAATGATGGTGGTGGTACAGGTGATAAAGCCAGTGATGATGAAAATTAATGGTTATGATGATGGTGATAAGATTCTTTGTCTGAGTTGTATCCATATTCATGTGTCTTCTTATTGCTTTTGGTTGTCCTCAATCAATATTTGTTTCCATGACATTCCATAGGCACGTGCATTTACAGCTTTGTGTTTTCTGACAATGTTATGGAAACGCCTTGTGATTGACGTCCAGCAAAACCTCCTTCATCGCGACAGAAACAATCGCTAGAGGGCACGTGTGATTGAGAATGGCTGTAAGCAATGAAAACAGTGGTTTCTACTGTAAGTCTTTTAGAAGTCCTTAAGCATAGTACAGAATACACACATACACATTGAATATGAATTATTATTATATAATTACCAAAATATCTATTTTTATTACACATTTAAGCTCGATATCCGTGAAATAAAGCCGTGAATAAAAACCATATCAGTGAAGTGATACGATAGCTTCACGGTAAGCTATAGAATCTAGCGATAGTATTAGTCAAGAGTGACGAGATAAATCTCTATTTAGTGTTTATTTCTATCAAATTCAAGATGAATTTTGTGCTTCTTACATTCTTAATTAAGCTTTAATATCTTGAATGATATTGAATTGGAAACGTATAATTCTTTAACATTTTGAAATGGTGTAAGTCGGTTAAGGATATTTAAGACAATAAAACATTTTGTGTGTGTTATATATCGAGCCTAAATGTGTAATAAACAAATTATTACATGTTAAGAACTTGATATCGTTTTTATTCAGCGAGCGAGTCCTCGAGCGAGTTCGCGATATGATACGGAAAAACTCGTGAATAAAAACGATATCAAGTTCTTAACATGTGATAATCTCTATTTCTCTAGTTCGAAAAATTGATATCTTCACACTTGAAAATAACATGTTATTTTCACGTGTGAAGATAACCCCATTGCGATGGCTATTCAAAAATACACGAAAAGAATTGCCTGATAAAGCCAAAACATACTTCATTAATAATTATATAATAAACAGAATATTACATGGCCGCTTGAATTGGAGATACGAATTTTATCTTCTCGTGTTGAAACTCTTTTCAACACTCAAAGATAAAATTCGTATCTCTGCGCGCCCATGTAATATCCTCTATTTATTTCATACTGAATTTGTATGGCTTTTGTTCTGCAACAAAAACTGCATAACAAAAGAAAATTACGATCAAAAGCGTGTAGCTCGTTCTTGTCTCAAAACGCAGTTTACATGTTTATGCATATATTAATGAATTAATGCGCTCCTTCCAAAT